GAATTTGACACATGCATCACATCAATGTGAATGTATGTATATGTTTCATGATAAATATTATAATAGTTAATTTAAATGTACATTCACAAGTTACATCTGGAAATACAAATACATATCATTTTAACGTGTGTTTCTATAGGGACTGTAATTCATTCTGTGAGAAATAAACCTATGAAATCTCTGTGTGAGCTGAAGCTGACGGTGATATATGAGAATTTACACTTAAGTAAGAATTTAGTGATGAGTCAAGAATATGGCTAAAACCTGCTTGTGAGGAGGAGTGAGCTCCGCTGCTCCTTCTGCTATTTCACATGAATATTAATCACTTTTTCTATCGGGGGATTGAGGAGTGAAATAAAATGACGCTGTGAGGAAAGGTGTGTGTGTCTCTGTGTGTGTGTGTGTTTGTGTGTGTGTGCTTATTATTTGTCTCCTCTACAATCACTCTCACCACCTCATAAGGCAGGTTCGGGCTGTTCCATATGGATGAAACTCATATATGACACGTCTTTGTGCCTCAGAATGTAAATGTAAGCAGCCGTTTGTTTGTGCATCAGCAGTTCTTGAGAGCCATGGGGAAGTGTGTGCGTGCCCGTGTGCACATTTTCTATGCATTCATTTTCACATAAGCTTGTGAATGTCCACATACCTTAAAATGTATGGCCTCTTTATATTTGCCCTCCCCATGTGGGTCTGTGCTGTGGAAATCTTTTGAATTCATTTGTATTTTATAGCCTCTATTTATCTCTCTCTTTCTTTCTGTAATGATTTTCCGGATATTTATCAGTTCATATTCCCGGTGTCAGTTATTGTGCCTGTTGCAGCAGATGAATAAGTTCTATATGAACTGTGATTTCATTACAGGGAGGTTTTCTTTCTGATATCTCCTGCTCTTTGTCCATGTGAGGGGAAACTTCATAGCTTAAATTCACGCATTACTGTTCATCATTCATTATTCAAACGGCCTTTTCCAAATAAAGTCACTCTCTTAAATGTAGTTCTGTAAGATGGATCTGATGGCGGATAAAAATATAAAGCCTCGAACAGAGATATCTTATTTATGTGCATTTGTTTGTAATTCAGTCAGATATTATTTGTAAAGCATGAAATCACAGCAAACAGTATTTTATTTATTTTTGTAATTTGTGTTGATGGTTTATGGTTAAACTGTAAAATATACTTTCAACTCCTTAATATCGATATTGACATCGCCTCCAAAAATCTACATTGTTCGGGCTCTAATGAATTTTTCATATTATGCTTTTATTTGCTCACAGAGAAATAACTCATGGTGGTGGATTTCATTATTTTCGTTTTTGTCCTTAAAGGTACAGTGTGTAGAATTTTGTGATATCTAGTGTTGAAGTTGCATGTTGCAGCTGAACTCCCCTCGCCTCACCCTCTCCTTCCAAACATGAAAAAGAATCTGTGATAGCCTTTAACTGTCATAAAAACTCAAAATGTGTTTAGTTTGTTCAGTCTGGACTAGTGTAAAAAACATGGCTGCCTCCGTAGAGAGGGTCCCCTCCATGTAAATATAAAGTATTTAAATATAAAGGGTCTTTTCTGAGGTAAAGAAAAATACAGTTCATACAATTTAGATGAAACGAACTAGAGAAAACATCATGAGGATTATTCTACATTAAATAGATCCCTTTCATCTGAATCTTACACTCTGGACCTTTGAGATAAGATGCGACTTTAGAAAAGTGTTTTTGTTTCTCACCTTTGCATTTTTGCATTTGTACTAAATGAGGATGACCTATGATTAGTGATTTGATTCAGTTCCGCGAATCCCTTCTGCCATCAGTCTTATTGTTCTCTACAGTTGTATTGTGAATTTTACTGCACTCTGTGTGTGGCTGTGGTCGGCTGTGTTATCAGGTTGTAGATGGAGATGGAGGGAAAGATGAGAATCGGGGAGGCTGGGCAGGGAGAGATGGGATTTATGCTAACATGCTGGTAGGAGGAAAGAGGATTTATCTGGCTCTTTGTGAACGCTGATGTCACTGCACTAGACTCCACCTCGACAGCCTCTTCCCTGCTTCACTTTCGTCTCTGAGCCTCATTCCTTGTTCTCTTCCCTCTTTCTATTTACCTTTGTCTCTGGCCGTGTCTGCCTTGTAATCCCTCGGGACGGCCTTCTCATTTATCCCACACCTACACCTTCTTCAATACCACAAGACTCCCTTTTTTCTGTTGTCTCTCCTCTCAGAATAAACTCTCTGCTGGTGAGAGTGGGAATATGTGCTGGTGTCTGTTCCTCGACCTGCCATACATTATCATCCATACAATAAATTTAGATAAACATGACGTGAGCTGAGGCGCTGTCGGTTCTCCTATCATGTCCTTCATTATTATGGCTCCCTCTTGTGCCATAAGTCATTATACTGCCTTGTGCACCACACACCACGGGACATCCGAGGCTACGCACATAAACACCAAGCTAATAAGAATATGACTGTGAAGAAAACACACTTATTCCAGGGTTGGACGTGTTTCTTGTGTATCTCAGTGCTTTTAATCAATGTGCGATTATAGTTATTTTAAAAGCAAAAGGGTTTCAGGGTTTCAGGCGTCTGTGCTAGGCTTTCATGGAAACATCATCGATTCTTTTAGTTTAAAAAATGTTCAACAAAGTGTTCATACGCATAAATAATAGTAAAGCAGTACATTTTAAGTGTGAACCACCATCACAGGCCCATCATTGACGCACATTGACACATCCTAGTCTTTAACCAAACTTACGCAGCTTTTGGCAGAAAGTTAGTGGTATGGTTTAGTTTTTCTCTGATTTTAAAAATGTCTTTTGGACGTAGGTGATCATAGAATCAAAGAGGATTCTTTCAAAATTAGTGCTGCTGTGGCCTGTCAGCTGTTCTCAGGGGGCCCCCTTTCAGCTTGGGGCCCAGGCAATTTGCGCCTGTTTTGCACACTCTGTTGCAACGGTCCTGCACAAAAGTATTTGCATTTTTTACAACCTGTTTTCTCTACTTTTCACAATTTGGTTTCTTGACACTGTCAATGAACAACAAGGAGCCGACACGGCAGACATGAGCTCCAGAAGAGTAAAACCTCGTAAAGTGCAGTAAATTACATGGTATACAATATGTCATAGTTAAAACATCACAATATCACATTTGATTGATTTACTGCACGTCCACACGGGATCGTTGTGCAGTGATTTCCCCCCAGCGCTCTGCTAACCTCCATATTCAGCTGAACTAAGGGTCGGTGAAACCAGTCTCACATGAAGGAAGTGGAACAGCAGCAGTCACAGTTACTCTCATCGCTGGTCAGAAGAAAACCCCCAACAACACCACACACACACACACACACAGACACACACAGACACACACCCTGTTTATTGCCATTTGTCAGCCTCCCTCGCTCTATATTTCATCATGGCGTGGCAGGTGTAGCTAACACACCGAGCGAGTGCTTTCTCTTGTTCGGTGGCTCTCACTGTCACAGAGAGGGATTTTTTTTTCGCCCTCTCTCCATGACAGACTCAAGCGTTTGAATTTTTTCCCCCTCAGAGAAAGTGACTGCACAAAACCTTCTGGGTCTGTAAGGTATCAGAAAACGGTTATGCAGAGCCAGAGCCGGCTCTGAAAAGATTTGGCTGGACTCAAAGTTTGATCACGGGTTTCAGTGAAGCAGAGCAAAATCTCTGAGCCACTTCAGGGAGGAAGCTTTAACACTGCTGGTGTTCACAGCAACACACACACACATACACAACACACATGCACGAAAACCAGGGTCTGCTCAAGCTGTCATCACACTGGTCAGTCACTCTGTTCAAAGCACCATAGTTTTATCACTTGAATAGAATAAAAACCTATATTGTTCAAAATAACCTAATATCTTAATGAAGCCGTTGACAAAGACCTTCTACAGTCTCATGTTTCCTGTTACAAGTTGCACTTAAACACAACACAAGACTCCAGCTGCATCCAAACGTTCCCTGCTGAAGGTTCAATTAAACAAGGGGAGGAACATTGGTTTGAAGTTGGTGCTTGGGAATTGCTCCTGCAATTTTAATTCCCTGGCCTTGTTATTGTTTGATGTCTCCACTGTACTTACTGCTGTAATGTTGTTTCACTCCGTATCCCAAAGAGATCAGTTGTGAGATGGAGTTTAAGTATTCATGCTCTTGGAATCAAAGTCGATATAAAGAGATTTAATGTTGGACCTTTTACTTTGTCTCCACAGCGAAGAAGACATGTGCGACTACGGACTTCGCCTGCAAGAACGGCCAGTGTGTTCCTGCTAGGTGGCGCTGTGACGGGGAGCCAGAGTGTGCAGACGGGTCTGATGAGGCTGACGCAATCTGCAGTAAGTAGCAGCTCAGACACACGGACAGGAGAAAACACAATCACATGTAGACAAACACAAAGGCAAACACACAGACAGGGATGGAGGGGAGGCCATGTCCACTGTCAGGTAGGTCAACATCAAACACCCATATACACGGAAATACACATTGTGAGCGTGTATTTGAATCAAAGTACATTCTTTTCCGAAAACATCTACACTCGCCTGCATGACGAAACTGTTTTTGTCGTATTTACAGTAATTGGTGTTGCATTTTGTGACCTTCACACTCACACACACACACACACACACACACACACACACACACTCACACACACTCACACACACTCTCTCGGTCTCAGTGCTTCGCATTCTGTTGCATTCCAGCTGCTATCGCCGACCTCCACTGTGTCGCACTTTGCTCCGGAAAATGGCTTTGCAGTTGTTTTTTCCCCCGTTGGCTGCAGCATCAGACATCCATACCCATAATGATCAAGGCCAGAGAGGAAATTATGCGCAGCAGAAGATTTAGCGTTTATCACTATTATGCAGTGGGTATTAAAAATCATTTGTCAAACTTTACCTTTTAAACACAGAAACCTATTTGGAGCTTAGCTTTCTCCCATTCTGCAGAACCAGCAAGTGTTTGCTGCAGATTCTGACTGAAGGACACTGTACACAGTGTAGAAAACTACATACTTCATTTAGATCATAAACTGAGACTGCCCTTCATCACTGAAATACTCAGATCTCAAGTGATTTGCTTATTCGGTTTTTTCTTAACGCTCATGTTTTCAGCTTGCACTAGTGTAATTTTAAAACAACGGAACAGAGCCGGAAAACCAACCTCAACCGTTGCACTGAAAAATTCAACACTGCCTGCTGAGATTAGTGGACTCAGCTCTGCAGCGTGTCAGAGGTTTCTCCAGCATTAACGGGTCAGGAGCCGCTCTGCAAAGTGATGCAGTGACAGTGAGGTGAGGCCGGGAGGTTTACACAGCATGTTTGTGTTTGTATGGTGGGAGCAGGGAGGGAGGAGCAGAGTGAAGGAAGTTTGTGTGGGTGTGTTTGTGTTAAGCGATGTCAGGCTCAGACAGATATGAGGGTGAGACAAGGGCCGAGGTATTCCACCAAATGTTATCTGCAACTTCACTTGGGGCTTATCAATATGGCCAAAACTTTAAATAAAAGTCAATATCGATAATTATCAAGATACATTTCAAATTGTTCTCGAAATATTTCAAATTAGAGACAGATTTTTATTTGCGATGGGTAACGTTCATTCGGGATGAATTTCTCACCACTTGTGATCCAGGACAGATTTTAATACCAGGTCTGAACTAGGGCCATACAAACTTTCACTTTGATTTCAAATGGATTCACATTTTTAAATCTCACCAGTTTTACCTCCGGAGATCAGATCAGCCACACAACATCAAACTTACCATAAACGGCTGTGAGCACTGACCAGCTCCTGCGTTTAATCTGTGTTTGATTTTCAAAGATGTGATCAAAAAGCCCTTTGAAGTTTCTCAGGGTAATAGGTCTGATTGGGAGAAGGACGTACGGACGTGCACGTGTGTGTTTGGCCTGTAAGTGATCTGAGCTTGTGCAGCTGCACAAGTGTTCGTATAAAATTCAGAGTCGATGCTCGTATTAAATATTCATCACAAGGTGAATCTGTTAGTCATTTCATCACATTAGTGGACTTGGTTAAGTCTAATTATGTTTAATCAAGGTCAGACGCTGTGAGAGGTCCGCTAACTTTCTCAGCCACATTGATCCTCAGAGCTGTGTGTGTGTGTGTGTGTGTGTGTGTGTGTGTGTGTGTGTGTGTGTGCACGTGTGCGTAATTGCATGCAGCAGAATGTGTTCGCACTTTTGCTTGTCAACCGGAGACACTAACGTTAATGTTTAATTATTAAAGAATCCTGGGTTTATATGCTGTTTTGTTTCAAATATTTATAAAGCATCACTTGGTGTTACTATCTTTTCATATAAAGAAACATCGACGAACATAAGTAAAACACATACAAAGTTACACAATAAGTGAATATGTTTTTAAGCACGACAGATATTTAACATGATAAAGTTAATCTATCGTCGATAATGTGCCTCTTTGGTTTCACACCAGTCTGTGTTGGTTTACTGTAGTGACTCAATGGGGTCTAGAAGCTTCAGTTTGCGCACACTAGCTAGTTAGGGATCATCTTTCAATCGTAGCATCTACTGATTAATGAACATCTGTAAGTTGTGGCTGAGGAAAATAACCAGGTATCACTTCTCTGCCTGCTGCACCACCCACCACCACAAGTAAATCCTCAGCCTGAGGGGAATACTGAACATGGTGAGTGGGCTTTGGCAAATCTGCTACAAGTCTCTGATCATAGATATTCCTTCATTGGGTGTTTTGTTGATGATGAAATGGAGAACACTATAACCTCTCCGCTCATCACCCCCCCATATACACAACCGTTCAGCGTCTACGTCTTTTATTTAGGTTTGTCTCCCTCCTCTTGCTTTTGTTTTGCTGTTACCACCTCATCACTCCTCATTTAATAGAGTTAATAGTCACACTGGACTTTATCCTTTTTGCTGCATCTGTCCGTAGCTATATCCAGTCTCTACCAGCTTATACCATGGTGTCTCACATCCCCCTCTGTGTCCAACTGCTCTCCTCCCTGCTGCACGGCCTCCCCTCTCTGATCTGAGTTCAGTTAAAGTAACGCCTTTGATTGCATTGATTCTTCTGGGAGAGAATCGATGGGCTGATCCCTGAAACCTCTGGTCGACTGCTGATTAACTATGGACCTCCGATGATGCCTCTGAAACCACACACAGACACACACACACACACTCCGGCTCCTCGGGCGCCGTCTGTAATTACATGTCTGAAAATGAATCGGGGCCTTGAGGGAATTGGGAAGAAAATGCTCCACCAGATGAGTGGTCATTGATGCATGACAGGGTAAACAACAACAAACTCCTGCTCTTATTTTGAAGTGGTTGTGGTTTATTTTACTTAAATTTATCACCTTCCACATCTACGGAGTCAGTGAACTTTTCACTAACATGAAAGCACAATTACTCTCCATCATTTAAGCATTTTTATTCCCCTAATTCAAATCAAAGTCAACTTTATTTTCAGTTGTGCCATATGTACCGGGCATAGACGAGATTGAAATGCTGTTTTATCTCTGATCCCTGTTGTAAACATATAAGTAGACAGAACATAGAAGTATGCAACATATTAAGTACTCAAAACATAGTACACAGTATCGGTCGGGCTCGGTTACACCTTAATAAGTACTGATGTGTTTAATACTTTCTACTGATCATCTAATTAGATGTTTTTCCCTCATCGGCTTATACCAAACTATGCACAGTGTTCAAACTGTCCTGACTTCAAACTTATTTCATTCCAGCCGATGAAACTCATTCATCTAAAGGCACAGGCTGTCAAAGCAGAGCCTCTTATCACTGCAGGACTTCTCTCCCACTTTTTACTAGCTGTGTTTTCCCGAGCTCATATCAAGCCACTATTGACTTCTTCTTTTTCATGTGGTAATTAAATCACTACTGAAGAGAAAACTTTAGCAAGTATGAGGACAGTGAAAGAGCTGGCGGGTAGCTGCTAATTGCCTTGCTGCTGCCGAGTCAAACAGGTATTAAAACTTCTTAATTATTGTGCCTTCGTCATATTTATACACTTTACTGCAGTTGGAGACGTTTCATCCGTCTCTTTTAGGTTATGGTTCTAATTAGGAAATGTTAGCATGCTATTGGTGGTATTAGAGAGATCCTCCCTCATCAAGCAGGTTAGCATTGTAGAATGTTGATTTTAGCGTTCAACTCAAAGCTTCACTGCACAATCATCTAAATTCATGAGCCATCGAAGGAGCTTTAGACTCTCAGCCCTGTTGAAGTATATTTGTATGAAACCAGAAGTATTGATCCTTGTCTTTATGAATTGGTGAATTCCATTTCCATTCTGTAAATTTAAGTTTTATTGACAAAGTGCCTCAGAGTGAAAATGTATTCATTCAGTTGTGGAAGACTCGTGGTCAGTTTTGCCCAAATCATCAGTCTAAACCCCCTGTGATGCAAACTGCCCTTCTGTGAGAAACACAGTTGACCTTTGCACGTCCCTCCTCCTGCGTCTCTTAGTCCCGGCTGTCATCTCCTCCAACCTGCTCCTGTGTTACTTGTCTGTGTGTGGTCAGGTCGTCCTGTTGTAGCACAGAGGCAGTAGGTTGTGCTAGTTCATTACTTTGGAATATGAACGGAAAGGATCCAGCCAGTTGTGTTGTCAGACGGCTTCAATTTCATGCTTGAGGCGGCGGCAGAGCCGGGCGTAATTTCCCAGGTGGCCTCACACTCTCTCTCTCTCTCTTTTCACCTGCCTCTGTCTCCTGTGCTCTTTAGTCTTGTAGAAGTCCAGCGACCCTCTGCCATCAAAAGACAAAGAAGTGACCATTGTTCACAAAACAGAGAGATGCACTCATATAAGTATGTGTGTGTGTGTGCGCATGTGCGTGTTAGAACTCTGAGGTCACTTTGATCTTCTACTTCAGAGTGCGAGTACTCTAATTTGTCTTTACTCTCCAGCTACATGTTCTTTTAATGGAAAGACTTTGCTGTTCTGAGGTGAATTTCACTCACGAGCCTCAACACACACGAGTACAATTGCTCTATAAGCTACTCAAAGTTTCAATCATTGAGCGTTTGTCGTCCGTTGAATAGCCTGGTATGTGGTAAATGTCAATTTTACTATTATGCACTGAATAGCAAGTCAGTCTCAGCTATTAATCATGACGTTTGAACCTGTTATAATGGCATCAAGTAGCAGATAAAAATCGATTTAATCACAAACATCGGTGTGATAAGAACAATGTAAACTGACTGAAACAGTCTTTGACAGGAATTTATTACTTTGGCTCACGTCCAATCCAATAACACTGAGGAGGTTGGATTTATGACCAATACTTTAAGAGCCTATCACAACATTTTGACTTGATATT